AGAATCATCCATCTCTAAAAATCGCTTTACAATCAAAGAGTAAGAATCTGTGTCAGCAATTATGTCAACGACAATACAGATCGATCCATCCCGCAGAATGTAACAATTGTCTCGCATATGAGTACCTAGGCATATATCATTAAATGTAATTTTTGAATAATGGACACTAGTATTGCTATTACTACGTGATATTGATACGCGAACAGATATATCGATATCGCGATTATCGTCTCGCCCATGAAGTCGTAATTCTGTCATTCGATTAAAAAATTGCTGTAAAGGCTGACCCAGTTTCCTGCAATACTTTATAAAAATAGACATATTATTTTCATGAGGAAAAGCGGAGAATGATTCTAAATTACCAAGGTCATACGTCTTACGTCATTAGTAAGGTGAAGCAGACCGCGAACATTATAACTAATGAAATTAGAACCATATAAAGTATTACTACACAATACAAATTTTTCCAGTGCAAGTTCCGCGAACCTCAGCTGTTTCTCTGATGGAGACTTTAAAAGCAAGATTCTTATAGCACCATATAGAAGCAAGAAGTGCTTATAGAGGTGGTCATCTAATATTTCATACCAAAGGATGGTTCTGACAAACTACTAAAACATGAAGACAATACACAAGAACCATCTGAAGAGATGGAAGATGAATATGATGCTCTATCATCCTCTACGTTTGCACTGCTTGTGCTGGCAATATTTTCGTTAACGGAAGGCAAGTTATTAAAATAAGTATTGGGTGAGTGCAAAAGTTCGTGCGGAGTTTCAATAGATGGAGTTATAAGCATCGTAAAGTGTTGTCATTAATACTTCCATCTACATATTATATAACGTTGGAAAGGTGACGTCTTCAGCTGTTATTAAAAAAAAATCATTTGTTTTCATACAAACTGCTTCGAGAAATATCACTTTAAAAATAAGTATCGATAAGGTGCATTTACGGCATGTTATGCTTTACGAGTTTCGGAAGGGAATAAACGTTGCCGCAGCCGTAAAAAACATTCAGGATGTTTATCAGGATGAAGCACCAGCTAAACGAACTGTGGAAAAATGGTTTGCTAAATTTCGGCGCGGAGAATTTAACCTTGAAGACGAGCCACGCTCTGGTCGACCTTCTGACATTGATGACGATGTTTTGCGTACTTTAGTGCTCAATAATCCGCGAATTTCAACAGAAGAAGTTGCTACAGCACTAAACGTTGACCGATCAACCGCTTTTCGGCTGATCGGCGTTTAAAAAAGATGGAATTCGATTTGAAGCTCGATATATGGGTGCCCCATTTGCTGACCGAGAAGAACAAAATCAAGCGAATTTCTGCAGCCGTTTCTTTACTCGGGCGGTTCAATAACGAGTCGTTTTTGGATCGACTAGTGACGGGCGATGAAAAATGGGTCCTCTACAACAATGTTCAGCGCAAACGGACATGGAAACAATCAGGTGAGCATGGTGACGCAATGCCAAAGGCCAGTTTGCACCCGATGAAGGTGATGCTCTCTGTTTGGTGGGATTGCAAGGGCATAATCTATTTCGAGCTTCTCCCCGCTGGCGAAACGATTGATTCGGACAAGTACTGTCGCCAATTAACCAATCTGAATCGAGAAATAAAAGAGAAACGTCCGATTTTGTCAAATCGCAAGGGAGTCGTCTTTCATCACGACAACGCCAGACCACACGTTTCGAAAAAGACGCTGTGCAAACTGAAGAGCCTGAAATGGGATGTCTTAACGCATCCACCGTATTCTCCTGATATCGCACCATCTGACTCACTTGTTTCGGTCATTGCAAAATTATTTAAATGGAAAAAACTTTGACTCTTTAGAGGCCTTAAAAAACGGCGTCTCTTCGTTCTTCGAATCTAAACCGCGCAGTTTTTATGATCGAGGCATCCGTATGCTGCCAGAACGTTGGGAAAAGATTATAGAAAACGATGGAGAATATATCATTGATTGAATAAAGATTTTTGTTTGCCTAATCACTGTGTGACTTTTACTCACAAACTCCGCACGAACTTTTGCACTCACCCAATATAACCGCTCACTGAGCGCTCAATGAGCTTTTACAGTTGATTCGTATATTCCTTTAGATTTAAAAATATACACCAATCAGATGCAAGAGTTCACTTAGCGCTCAGTGAGCGGTTGGTTGCGTTCAGAAAATAAAGCGCTCACTGAGCGCTTAATAACTATTGGTCCTTACTATTAGATCCTTACATTCAGGCCAATAACGTTGACGAATTATTCAACCGTTGTGTAACCGTTGTGTTTTCTGAACGCAGCCGTTGTACTACTCAGTGAGCGATTGTAGTACTGAATGCACCCTTAGATGGACATTTGAGCCTCAGGGCCCATCTTGAAATTTTCGCATATACACTATTTTTACTACGCAGTTTTTTATGATATGATTAAACCTCGGCTGGGGCTAAAATTCCTATCAAACTCTCAGGGTACACTTTTTGAACGCAGCTCGTAAGGTTGATGTCCCATGAGCGGAAATTTTCAGCAGAACGGAACGCTCGAACCAATCACAGCCACTCCATTCTTTTCACGAATAGAATAGAATGGCTATGATTAGTGCGCACGTTCCGTTCCGCTAAAAATTTCCGCAGGGCATCGGCCTAACGTTATTCCTCCTTCAACTGTTCTCTTAATAAGTTTATGATTTTGCGGTCAGTTATATAGCATATTTTTCGTGATTACGTCGAGTAATATAGAAGATAAATATTCTATATTGCAAGTGTGATATAGCAAGGGTTCATCATCTTCACTATGTCACAAGAAAGGTAAAAATATTTACTCTAATCTCTTTATTGCATGCTCTAAAATAAATTGCTTCTTTAAAATAAATGTTTGCTTCATTATTTCTAGAATTAGCCCACTTTATGAAATAATTTTTTGAAATAATTTAAAATAATTTTTTTTCTCTTCAATTTCATTATATATATAAATAGATAGATAAGCTGTTTATTGTTTTCCTGTGAAGTTACAATTTTATACATCTTGCTTCCTCGCGACTTTCTCTCGCTCACTCCCTATACCCCCTCTATACACACACACACACACACACACACACACACGCGCACACACACACACACACACACACCTTTTCTCCTTTCTTCCCCTCTATCTGTCCACCCATCTCTAGTTTATATCTAACTCAAATTATCTTACTAGCTTACTTACTAATTAGCTTAAATCCTAATGCTTATGTGCTATTGCTTATAATTAATGCTTATATACTACTCCTTATATCTATTGCTTATAACTAATTACATTTAATTGGTGGGACTTTCATTTCCTTTCTCTTACTATCCCTCACCCTTCATTCATACTCTTATCCTATTTTCTCTCCCTCCCCGCTCCCTCCATTCTCCCTCGTTCCCTCCCTCCTCTCCTCCTCCATTTTCTCTCATCCCTTCTCCTCGCCATCTCTTTACCACTCTTATCCATCCCTCTGGCTTCTCTCCACCACCCAATATCTTCCTTACCGCCCCCAATTTGTTACATAATCTCATTTCATTTTATAATATAATTTCATTTCAATTTAATGTAACCACGTTAAGGGAAGGAGGAATTATTTTCAGTAAAATAAGGAATTGTATTAGGTGCGCAACTAAGTTCCCGCTGTTTTTCAAGAGATGGCTCCAGTAGTAACTGCTGGTCGATTATGACATAACCAAAACGTCATGAACCAAGCTTACATATGGTAAACAAACCGCTTTGACACATTAGTGATTTTGTTTTTGCGTCATATACTTTTGGTTGTGTGAAAATGTCTTATTTTGTGCCAAATAATCGTCATTTGCGGGAAGTGTTGCTTTTCTTCTTTCATTCGAAGAAAACGGCGGCTGAAGCGCATCGAGAACTCCAAAAAGTTTACGGAGATGCTGTTCTAAGTGAAACAACGTGCCGTGATTGGTTTCGTCGCTTCAAAGACGGTGATTTCGATGTTGACGACCGTTCGCGTGAAGGAAGGCCAAAAACCTTCGAAGACGCTGAATTGGAGGCATTGCTCGATGAGGATCCGTGCCAAACGCAAAAAGAGCTTGCTTCAGCATTAGGAGTTACCCGCCAAGCCATTTCCAAGCGATTGTATGCGTTGGGAATGATTCAAAAACAAGGAACTTGGGTTCCTTATGATTTGAAGCCAAGAGACGTTGAGCGTCGTTTTTTCGCCTGTGAACAACTGCTCTAGCGGCAAAAAAGGAAGGGTTTTCTTCATCGCATCGTTACGGGTGATGAAAAATGGATTCATTACAGCAACCCAAAGAGAACAAAATCATGGGGACTGCCCGGTCATGTTTCTACGTCGTCGGCTCGGCCGAATATTCACGCTGCGAAGGTTTTGCTGTGTATTTGGTGGGACCAGGGCGGTGTTATTTATTATGAGCTGTTGAAACCGAACGAAACCATCACTGGGGAACGGTATCGAACTCAATTGATGCGATTGAGCCGAGCACTGCGCGAAAAGCGGCCACAATACGAGCAGAGGCACGAAAAAATGATTCTACAGCATGACAACGCTCGGTCTCACGTTGCCAAACCCGTCAAAACCTACTTAGAAACGCTCAAATGGGAAGTCCTACCCCACCCGCCATATTCCCCAGATATTGCGCCGTCCGATTATTACTTGTTCCGTTCGATGGCACATGGTCTGGCTAATCAGCAGTTCCGCTCATATGAAGACATCTCAAAATGGCTTGATTCGTGGATAGCCTCAAAAGACGAACACTTCTACCGTGACGGTATTCGAGCTCTGCCAGAAAGATAGGAAAAAGTTGTCGCTAGCGATGGGCAATATTTTGAATGATTCATTTGTAACCATTTTTTCACAATAAAGTTGCATTTTCATCAAAAAAACAGCGAGAACTTAGTTGCGCACCTAATAACTTTTAAGCAACCTCTTTAACCTCTTGAACAAAGTATATTCATATATACATTGCTATTGTTTCAGATCCACAGGGCAACCAAAACGAAGTATAACAAATTCTCCCCGATATTTAACAACATCATCAGATGAAGGACCCCCACAGAGGAGGCGCTTTGCAGCATCTGCTGCAGCTGGTTCTATCAATGACGACATAGATGAAATAACAAGAACCTTGGAGGATGAAGCTACAACTTTTAATATAGAAACACACGTTCAACCTACATTAAATATACAATCATTTACAAACACTAATACTGGACATAATACACAAACACGTACTGGACATAATACACATACACGCCTAACATACAGATGCACACACACACCTCACCCATGCAAACATACACAAATACATTACCAACACAAACACATTTTATATTGAATAAAGAAGACGGACAAATCCTGTATACTAATAACAGTTTGTCTCATGTGCGAACTTCACAGCCAGTGCAGCAGGAGAAAGGCTTCCAATATGGTCAAGGCAGTGCAATTTTCCCTCTGCAGGATGACAATCTAGAAAAAAGGTTTGTTTATTATCAAATATATGCTAACTAATTTTGATACATGATAAAATATATAGTTATTAAATAGATTATTGGAACAGATATGTATCTTTTATTTGAATTTCTAAAAGGAATTAAAAATTATTTGTCTATTTGTCTACTATTAGAAACTAATTGTAATTGTTGTTTTCGTTACAGGAGAAGTGAAGCACTCTTGACCAGAATGGAGGAACGCATAATTAACATAGAGGTTGAAATTAAGTAAGTTCTGTGACAAATAATCATATGTGTTTATACAGGGTGTTTGATAGCTGATCATGTAGACGAAAGTTGGAGATAGATTGGGTGTAGCCGAGAAGGAAAGTCATGCACCATAAATGTCAAACTTGTCAAATTGCCAATAGTTATCGAGTTATTAATTAAAACATGTGAGCCAACGAGCGCGTAGAGAGCGGAGGGCGACCGCAGTAAGCACATAGACATTTGATACAGGCGGAGTCAGCGAGTAACGGTAGGCGAGCACGCGCGGCGAGGGGCAACGTAAATAACAAGAGGCGAACGCGCGCGACGAGGAGCGAGCGAGCGCGAACAACGAGGAGCGAGCGAGCGCAAGCGACAAGAGGCGAGCGAGCGCGACGAAGAGCGAGCGAACGCGAACGACGAGGAGTGAGCGAGCTATAAGGAAAAAACTATAAAGAAAAAGCTCGCTCGCTCCTTGTCACGCGCGATCGCCTCTTGTCGCTTACGTTGCCCCTCGCCGCGCGCGCTTGCCTACCGTCATTCACTGACTCCGCCTGTATCAAATTTCTTTGTGCTTACTGCGGCCGCCCTCCGCTCTCTACGCGCTCGTTGGCTCACATGTTTTAATTAATAACTCGGTAACTATTGCCAATTTGACATTATGGTACATGACTTTTCTTCTCGGTTACACCCAATCTATCTCCAACTTTCGTCTGCATGATCAGCTATCAAACACCCTGTATACAGGGTGTCTCATTTTAAGCATCCACCCCAAATATCTCTCTTATTTTTGATTTTAGAGAAAAATGGTTCAGACGTATTTTGTATGGTTTCAAGGGGGCCATAAGATGGTACCATTTATTTGACCTTGAAGAGTCATTTGAAGGTCACGTGAAGGTTACCTCAATTTTTTTAGATGAAACTCCCTATTTTTTATTACATATTCTTATAGCTGACCTCGAGAGCTTTCCAAAACACTATAATCAAATGTTTTTTGGTGAAGTACTTTTCGAGTTATAAAGCTCCAAATTTTGTAAATTTGGAGCTTTATAACTCGGAAAGTACTTCACCAAAAAACATTTAATTATAGTGTTTTGGAAAGCTCTCGAGGTCAGCTATAAGAATATGTAATAAAAAATAGGGAGTTCTATCTAAAAAAATTGAGGTAACCTTCACGTGACCTTCAAATGACTCTTCAAGGTCAAATCAATGGTACCATCTTATGGCCTCCTCGAAACCATACAAAACACGTCTGAACCATTTTTCTCTAAAATCAAAAATAAGAGAGATATTTGTGATGGACACTTAAAATGGGACACCCTGTTTATATACCCAGCAAACACAATGTTACATGTAACGTACATGTTAGTTGTAGTTTCCTACTCAACAATGAAACTGTTATATAACACGTGTGTTACATGACAATTATATCGTTGAGTAGAATGTTGCAACTAACATATATATATAACACTGTGTTTGTTGGATATATATACAACTTTACCGTGTTTTATCTTGTTTCTTTTCAGAAAATTGAGTGCAGGTATAAATAAAATATTAAAGTGCATCCAGGATCGCCAATCCGCGTTGAGAAAACTAGAAGGCTTACCTATTACAACTATTCAACAAATGAAGGAGTTAGAACAATCAACAGAAGAATATTATACCGATGTTGTAAGTAAAATTAATATCTTTTACGTCATACGAAAATTACGTACATAATATACTGCTTGTTTTAGGTCAATTACTTTCATTATATTGGCGGCTTCACTTTGAAAGAAGCAACCAATCTTTACCTCAGAGAGGGTTTGCACGACGCACTGGCGCCGTCATATACTTGGTTCGGCCGCGACGAAGGACGTCAATCATTATATCAGGTGTAGTAAAAAGAAATCCATTATTTTTCCAATAGATGGCTTTAGTTATCTGTATCTCGCGTTGTATAAGTCCGATCGGGTTCCACTAGATGGAGTTAGAAAGATGAGATTTCGTACTAAAAAAACTTTTGTGACAGTTTTGTGATTAGTTGACTCAGTTTTGTTTGAGCGCGCGTCAAAGATGAACACTAGCAAAGAGAAAATACGCTATATTTTACAATTTTTCTTCGATAAAGGCGAAAACGCAAGCCAGGCGACTGAAAATGTGAATAGTGTTTATGGTCCTGATACTGTAACAGCCAATCACGCGCAATTTTAGTTTCGTCGATTCCGTTCCGGTAATTTCGATGTCAAAGATGCACCACGCACTGGAAGGCCAATTGTCGAAAATATCGATAAAATCATGGACATTGTCGAGTCCGACCGTCATGTAAGCATTGTTTCGATTGCCCAAGAGCTAAAGATTGCACAAAAAACCGTTTGGAACCATTTGAATAAGGCTGGATACAAAAAGAAGCTCGATGTATGGGTGCCACACGAGTTAACGAAAAAAAAACTCATGGACTGAATTTCCATCTGCGAATCGCTGCTGAATCGCAACAAAATCGACCCATTTCTGAAGCGGTTGGTCACTAGTGATGAAAAGTGGATCACTTACGACAACGTCAAGCGAAAACGGTTGTGGTCGAATCGCGGTGAGCCGGCGGAAACGGTGGCCAAGCCAGGATTGACGGCCAGGAAGGTTTTGCTGTGTGTTTGGTGGGATTGGCAGGGAATTACTTACTATGAGCTGCTCCCCTACGGCAAAACTCTTAACTCGGAACTGTACTGTCAACAATTGGACCGTCTGAAGGAAGCAATCGCCCAGAAGCGGCCAGTTTTGGCCAATAGGAGAGGAATTGTGTTCCATCAGGACAACGCCAGGCCACACACATCGATAGTGACTCGCCAGAAGCTCCGGGAGCTTGGTTGGGAGGTTCTTATGCATCCACCTTATAGTCCGGACCTGGCACCAAATGATTACCATCTGTTCCTGTCCATGGCGAACAATTTTGCTGGTGAAAAATTCGCTTCAAGAGAGGCTTGTGAAAATCGACTGTCTTAATTTTTTGCCAATAGGGACGAGGGCTGCTATGAGAGAGGCATAATGAAATTACCTTCAAAATGGCAACAAGTTATCGAACAAAACGGCACATATTTGATCTAAATCGGATCATTCTAACTATGGTAATTAAAGCCTTCAATTTCATGCAAAAATAATGGATTTCTTTTTACTATACCTAATATAATACTCGGCTCGTTAAGGCCATCTATGGTAAGAAATATTTTCAGTCTTCATAGAGAGAGAGAGAAAGAGAGATTAGTTAGTATTGTCATCCAACAAGAAATGTGCTTCTTTTGCAGATGCTGTATGTAGAAACAACTACTTTGCAAAACCTGAGAAGTCAGAGTTCCAGAAGCAGATGCGGGAGTTTTTGCGTGTAATAAAAGAAAGAAACCGTATGAGAGGAAACCGTGGACGCCAACACAATCTTGCCTGACTGAACGCAGAGCATTTGTGGGACAAGGAAGAGGAAGAACACAATGATGATTGACAATATGAATCAGTTAAGTTAAAAATATCCGTTGCACATTTTAAGACAAGTAGTGAGAATGAAGAAGATGATGCTGATAACGTCGATGGATAAGTCTGGGGAAGAAAGTCTAATATCTCTCTTTTAGATCAACATACTGAATTACAAAAATTGGCTGAAGGTATTAAACTTTTGAAATGCCTTAAAAAACCGTGCCGTCAGTGTTAATATTTGCGAAGAAGAAGCGCGACGTGGATGCTATCCACGAATATCTGCTAATCAAAGGAGTGGAAGTTGTTGCAATACATGGAGGCATCGGTACGCCGTATTTCAAAGCACTGGGACTGTTAATAAATTGTATTAACATTTCGAAGTTAAACATCATGTAGATAAATTAAGTCTATAGCATGATATTTATTTTCTTATTTATTCTAGTATGTATAATATTCACAAACATTGTCAATTACAGATCAGGAGAAAAGATCATGTTCTGTCGAAGCGTTTCTCGCAGATCAGAAGGACGTTCTGGTTGCGATAGATGTTGCGTCCAAAGGTCTCGAGTTTGCTAATGTACAACACATAATAATAAATTATGATATGCCACATGATGTGGAGAATTACGGTGATATTTCGTGATTTAATCTACAATTTAGGTTATTGCATCAGAAGAACTCAATGTTAATGTATCTCTCTTAATATAGTTCACAGGATAGGACGTACTGATCGTTCCGGACGTACTGGCATCGCGATGGCTTTCATTAATAAGGCAAACGATGAATCGCTGTTGCTTGATCTCAAATATCTGCTAATGGAGGCGAAGCAGGAAGTGCCGTCATTCTTGTTGAAACTTTGCTCGGAAACCGAAAAATACCTCAATCTGGGAAGTAAGATGATAATTGCAATACATTTGCTTTCTTCTTGTGATGTTCAAATTACAAGCGAACACTAGCGTTTGGTGACTGCGCCTACATTTGCGTTTATGATCGTCTCTTGACTAATTAGAAAAAAGCTACTGGCAATTGAGATTTTTCTGATTGATCAAGAGACAATCGTAAATATAGACGTTAGTGTGATTTGGGCATTAAACAGCGTTCATTCTCGATCTCACTGTGACTTGTAAATTCATCTGCAAATTTGAAATGGACATTTATGGACATTTATATTCTTTTCATTTTACAGACGAACGCGGTTGCAGTTATTGCGGCGATCACAGAACCACAGAATGTCCGAAATTGGAAGCCATGCAGAATAAGCAAGTGTCAAATATCGGACGTCGCAAGCTAACAATGCGGCAGATTATTAAATATTATGATATTTTTTAGATAATTATTGTATATATATACAATAACATATACAAAAAGATTATTTATATATATATATAATACATATACATATATAAAAGATCTTTTAGTATATGTTAAAGCGTTGTAAAAACAAAATATGTTACGAGAAACAAAATCTAATAAAATTGTTACATTCGCGTTATGTTTGCGGAATAATTATGCAGAGAATCGATAGACAAGCGCGAAGAGTTCCTGCACTCCGCCAACTTCAAGGACTCCTTCATTTCATCGAAGAAATGCATTCACGAAAGAGACCAAGCAAAGCATATCGCAAGCGTTATTTTTATTAAAAATGTTTCTCATATATTTACAAAATAAAATTAATATTGTATACTCACAAATACCAATTCTGACTTCTTTATTCAGAAATACCAATTCTAACCTAACGACCAAGATTATATACGCGATGCGTACCATTAAAAGATCAGCTGATTTAATGCAAGCGTTGCTGCGAATTTGCTGTCAACTTGCACTCAAGTCTTGAGTTCAAGACCTTGCTCCGGTGTTGCCGCCAACTTGCTGCCAAGTTATGTGCGCAAGGTTTGCGTGCTGTTTGCTGCAAATTTGCATCAAATGCTTGACGTCAAGATTTGCAGCCAAATCCATAGCCTCAAGACGCCGCAGATGACTATGGTTTTGGCATCAACATTTGATCAAATTTGCTGCCAATTTGCGTGCAACTTTCTCTCAATTTGCTTGCTGGGTAGTTGCTTATTAATATTACTAATAATGGCTTTATATTACTAATAACTAATAATTAAGAAGCGCAGATTATATAAACCAAATAATAATAGCTTAGACCAATAAATATCTAAAATACTTTTTTTCCTAATCCACAGACATACATACCTTTATTTTTTTAACTATTCAAATGTAATATATTTTAATCGCAAAGAAGACTCATAACAAAGGATTAAACAAGGACAACAATTATTAAACAAGGATAACAATTAGGATTCAATCAAGGAATGTTTTCTTCGTAAATACATAACACATACATGTGTTATATACCTACAAGGATAGAAGAGAAGAATCAAGTAATAGTGCAATTTAAAGTACGTTTCAAAATTAATATAGCAATATATTCTTTTAAAACTTCTCTCAATTGCGCACACATCACAGAATTAAACTAAAAGATAGAATAGAACAACATTCTGTAATAATGGAGAAAAAATGAAAAATTTTTAATTGTAAGATTACTTTACCATTATGGCCATGGTGTACAATCTTCTCTCGAAAGTCTTAATTGCAAGGTACTTTTCTATTATATTTGACCCAATTGCGCATTAGTAAAATTTATCTTAATATCTCATTTTGTCATGTCGATAGTCTCTAAAACAATACAAACCAAGTTGACAACTGTAATTGTAAGGAAATAGAAATCTTCAATAACATATCGTAAATTATAATCAACAGTTACTTTCTATGCCTAAGGTTGCTTTCAGAGCAATATGCAAATAAACGTCACATCTTATATTATTAAATTGTTAACTACTTCTACACTTTGACCCTGTCACATACCTAATGACCATTAACAGATACAAATTAAATTTCAAATCTTACAATAATGCGTAATCCAAAATATACTTACGTACAAAAACTTTACGAAACACTGGCTGCGTTCAAAAAACAAAGCGCTCACTGAGCGCTTAGTAACTATTGGTCCTTAATGTTAGATCCTTACATTCAGACCAATAACGTTGACGAATTACTCAACCGTTGTGTAATTGTCGTGTTTTCTGAACGCAGTCAATGGTTGCGTTTAGCAGAGAAAGCTGCTTTGCAACTGTTCCCATATAGCACAGATCATTGCAACAACATTGCAGCAACGTTGCAACGTTGCAAATTGCATAGCAACATTGCAAAAACATTGCAGAGACATAAATCCGCAAGATATCAGCACACTTTTAGCAACATTGCATTAACGTTGCATTAACACTGCAAAATGAAAATTCCATAATTTATTTATAACAACCACTATTGTTGCGAGCGTTAAGTGGAACGCATCAAAGGTTCTTCCTACGGAGAGCAGCTTTCCAATGGAGAATTCAATTCTCTATTAGACAGCTGTTCTCCTATTGGATATCGTATTATGACTGTGTCCCGAAATTCACTGCCAGTACTGAACATCTATAGTTTATGAGACATAAACTATAGATTTTCAGTACTGACAGTGAATTACGGGACACAGCCATCGGCCGCGTTCAGTAGACTCAACAGTTGGACAACATTACTAGATTTTCCACCGAATCTCGCTCTTGATTGGTAAATACTTCTGGGTCTATGAAGAATCTAAAAGAATGCTCCAATCACAGACAATAATCACTAAGCGCTCACTGATCACTTTGTTCTACTGAACGCGGCCATTGTATGTCGCATCATCGGACACAGTGTGAATCCGCCATAACATGCACTTGGGTCATGTTTATGAACGCAGCCTTAGGCCGCCATTCAGAATGTATCGTGAGCGATTCGAACATCGATCGTGTGTGGTAGTTAAATAAAAGAAAGAGGTAAGTGCTTTCTGATAAAATTAGTATTTAATTATAGGTACTTGTGTGATGCTTCTATGCCTATTATAATAGTATTCTATGCTTATCCCAGAGTTAACCCTCTACAGACAAGGTTGAAATAAGATTCTCTCCCGTGGACGCCACCTTGCCGTGGTGGGGGAGCTTGCGTGTCCCGATGAAGTACAGAGCTGCGCCGGCGGAGGTTTCGACCCCTGGCAGGTTCTACCATGCCGGAGAGGTCTGTACAGAGGGGCCAGACTAAGAGCGTCCATAATACTCCTGGATGGGCAGCTGCCTCCAGGTTTTATCCAGGGTTTGGAGGGTTTCATTCGTGAGGCTCAAAGAACTCTACAGCGCGGGCAGAGCGGGCTCGTTAGCCTTGGCAGGCAACCGGTCTAAGGGAAGGAAAATCCCGAAATCACACCCGTGTTACAGGGGCACGTAAAACTCCTGCATTTATGGAGATATGACTAGTAAGGAGACAAGCGCCCCGGTACTCGGAGCCGGGGAACGGCGGGAGGGGACGTATCGTCCCGGCACCCCCCCGTCGTCATCCAGCTACGGGCTTGACGGCGCGTGCCAGGCGGGCGCGCCGTCTGAATATGCTACCGAAGGGAGGCACTCTTGGACCGGCTGAGGCCGAGTGTGGGTCGGATGAACCCACCCTCGGCCTTCGCCGGTCCAAAGAGCGCCAAGAAAAGGAAGCGCGTGGCGGAGGAATCTGCCACGCATTTGTGGCAGGACAGAGAGATGCACTTCCCTCCCCTCGGGGGCGTTAGTTCCCATCGGGGGGAGGGGAGTGCAGCTCCCTGCATGCGTGGGGGTAGGGACGTAGTATCCGCCACGCAAAGATGGAAGGAACTCTTCCCAGGGGAGGAGTTTCCCTCATCCGAGGACGAAGAGTCCTCGGTTGGGGGGACTCCACTCCGAAACGCGCGGGAGGGGAGAGTTTCGGGGGGGGCGATCAGGGCGCCACCAGTGGGGCCTTCCGCCCGTGCGGAGACCCGCTGCCGAGGCGGAGAGAGAGAGGGACCTTGCCGACAGGGCCCTGGACGGCATAGATTATGTCCGAACCGTCCAAGTAAATCCCTCGTTGAGGGCTGCCAAGGGGTACGGAAAACCCCTGGAGGCCCTCAACGAGGATTTTAGGGAGAGCCTCCTCTGCATAGAGGAGGCATTAGAAGATTATAAGAGGCAGGCGAGGGAGGATGGCCCGGATGGACGACTTGGGGCCCTGGAGGTGCAAGTCCGGGGCCTCAAGTCCGAAATCGCCCGCATTGGGCGGCTGCTGGAGAAGCTTTTGCCTTCTCCAGCAGCTGCAGCTGCGGGCAGCGGGGCCACCCTCTCTCGCCCCTCTCCGCGGCAACCGACGGCCGATGGGGAGGGGCACGGCGGGTGGACAGTCGTGTCCACCCGCAAGGGGAAGGGTAAGGGAGGGAAGGGTGCGCGGCCTGACCCTCCTCTACCAAAGGGTGGAGGTGCTGCAAAGAAGGCGGCATCTCTTCCCAAGGGAGGGAAGGCTGGGAGGAAGAGGGCCCCGAAGAAGGGACCCCCTCTCCCCAAGGAAGCCACAGATGAAGAACCCCCCGCGCAACCCGGTCGTAACCTTTGACTATATAACTATGGACTGCTAGCAATGACTTTGGGCATCTATGAACATCTGCAGCGCCGCCAGTACCAAACACGGCCATTATTAGAACTATCATCGCACTTTTCATTCCTGTTTTACCATTAAAAAGATATTTGCGATCATGAATTTATAAGGAAAGGAAAATATAAAGAACACAAAATATGCTGTATATAATAAAAATTACATTAGTTATATAGTTTATGTTATGAAAATCTTTATTATACAATAACAATTAGTATTTATATATAAATAAAAATAAAAATATATATGTTAAACATAGCATCACATAACATATATATGTTAAACATAACAAATAAAAATAGAACTTTGTTATTAATGTAAAAAAAAACGTTACATTTTCCATATTTGTTAAGATATTACTGACCTTTGAATAAAATAATTTTTGTAAACTGATGTCTGATGTACTCAATATTTTGGCTCATTAATTTCCCTTCATAATTCATAAGAATCTGTATATAACATTCTATAATTAATTTAATTAAATAATATTTGTGATTTTCGAAAACGTCTAACTCATTAACGTGGTTGTTAAAATTTATAAATATCTTATCCATATCAATATTACGTATTGTTTTTATAATTATTTCTTGGCATGCATTTTTCTTATACAAATTATTCTGTAATTTATAAAAATTAAAAACTTTGTCAGCGGCAACAATGAGTTTATATGTATCTTCTCGTGGATAATGTAAATATCCACAGCTTTTTCTTTCTATGAATGTAGACTTCATAACTGTACATTCGTTAAAAAGATAAAGACATGTTTCGCAAGTAATCTTTTTTAATAATTTAATAATTAAACTTCCTTAAACTACTTGACGACATGTTTGCCACTTTTTCGGTTGTAATATCTCCTGGATATCTTATTAAACATTTATCATTTGACGCCACAATATTGGTTTTTGTTGAATATGTCATATCATCTTGTGTTTGTCCTTGATGAGAACCAATTGTTGATTCATCTTGTAACGGCCGAACTCCGCGGTTCGGTCGCTGCTATGCGTTTCGCGCGGATAAGGCTCGTCGGAGTCCGGGTTCGGAGAGGAGGAAAGCAGCGAGACGTTCGAGAGTAGTACGTTAGCTTTATTCTATATTTAATTTGATACAAGAGGTCGGCCCCGAAGGCGATGTCGCGGGTTGCGTTTGTAAGGCGCGTCGGTACGGTACGGTGCGGTGCGGTGAGCGGTGCGAGCGCTCGTACGAACGGATAGGCCGTGCGGAAGGCGGGGCCTATTGCGCGACGCGTGTCGATCGTAACGACGGTAACGGCGCGGTGTTCGGTCTCGCTTCGCGACGCTGGGCGTCTCGGACAATTATCGCCCAATACTCGCTTCGGAATTGCTCGCGTAAAAATGGTCGCCGGACCGGAGATTTCGATTCTCGGTCGAACGCACGCACGCGAGTCGCGGGAGGCGCGAGATGATTTCGTCCGTCGGGGCCGAGGACTCTCGACAGAGAAGGCGTACGCACCTTCCCTTTCCCTACGTTCGTGGAGGAAAGCGACCAAGTGCTGCGGACACTCAGCGGAGACGGCGAACACACCGTCCCGGGTTCCTGGTCGCTAGACGGATCGCCTAAAGGCTGAGTACGCTCAGCGGAGTTCGCCGACGGACGAACCCCTGACTCGAGGCGGCGGGTAAAGGTGAGATACTGTCGAGTACGCTCGACTGAGCACGCGTACACACGAGANCTTAGGCTAATATTACATGTGTCGTATGACAAGCTTTTCGGATACATTGATTAGCGTACACTCAGAGGCAGGTATGGTGTCCCTCGGCGATGTCGTATACGCCTGTAAACAAAACAATCGATAGCGATGACAGGCATATACGCATACGCATATGGGCGTACTGTACAGCGCGAGAGAAGCGAAGAAAGAGAAGTGGTGGGAGACGTTCCGATGTTGCATCCTTATCACACGTCGCACGATCGAGAGAGAAAGCATTACCAGACGTGGTACGGTTAATGGTGTCCCCAATAGCTGTCTCACTCACTCTATGCTTGAATGCAGGCAATATGAGTGAGACACCGCGCTGTCTATATAAGTGTCTCGCTCGCTCTAATAGCCATGTATCGCGCTTTCCTCTTTTCTCCTTAGCAGAAATGCCGATTAAGGAGGCAATCCTGTCTGTAGGCCAGAACAATAAGCTATTTTCGCTATAATTTTTTTCCGGAAACTAAGCAGACGATGGATTTCAAACTTGATAGAAATAATAATATATATTTTATTGATGAGAATGAATTTTTATAGCGTTGTAAAAGAGAAAAGCGCGATACATGGCTATTACAGCGAGTGAGACACCTATAGAGTTAGCGCGGCGCATATTAAAAATTAATATTTTTTTATTTCACTAGTTCACACGATAGATAGACATATTTTGAACATGTAATTAGATGCCGAAGTTGATCGATCGACTTTTCTATATAAAAAAAAGTTTTTTCTTTTATTTCAGGAGATGCTATATAGTGTCTCGTTATTATTATTGTAATTTTTATTATTATTAAATGTCTCCTAATTTTTTCTTATATTTTCAAGAGCGGAGCCTATATTTTAAGTAGCATTTTAAGGAAGATGTTGCATTTATTCTCCCTCCTTCTCGTAGTCTTTCCAAAAGTAAAGATATGTTGCGTCTCAAAAAAATTGCACAATTTGACATATCTTACGGCATAAAATAAGTTTTTTCGTAAATTTCATGAAATATCGTTTTCTAGCAAATAAAATATTCTTAACGTAAAATCATCGATATTTATGAAGATTTTTCAAATACAATTTTTAAATGCCTTAAAATATTAAAAACTAGTTCGTTTTTTATTTCCTTAATTCAAACGAGTTAGCGGCAAGTTCGTAGATTAATTATTTTAGTTGCGTTTTTGTCCCAGTCTACCGTATTTCGAGATTTTATAGGAACCGTGAAACGGCGCGCGCCTAAACACGTCACGTTATTTTTTGTACATTTGCTACATTATTATTCATATAACGCTATAAAAATTCATTCTTATCAATAAAATATATATTATTATTTCTATCAAGTTTGAAATCAATCGTTTGCTTAGTTTCCGGAAAAAAATTCGCGAAAATAGCTTATTTTTCTGGCCTATAGAAAAGATTGCCTCCTTAATCGGCATTTCTGCTAAGGAGAAAAGAGGAAAGCGCGATATATGGCTATTAGAGCGAGCGAGAAACCTATAGAGACAGCGCGGTGTTTCTATAGCTGTCTCACTCATATTGCCTGATTCAAGCGTAGAGAGAGTGAGACAGCTATTGCGGACACTATTAACCGTACCACGTCTGGTAATGCTTTCTCTCTCGATCGTGCGACGTACGATAAGGATGCAACATCGGAACGTCTCCCACCACTTCTCCCTCTTCGCTTCTCTCGCGCTGTACAGTACGCCCATATGCATATGCGTATATGCCTGTCATCGCTTTTGATTGTTTTACAGGCGTATACGACATCGCCGAGGGACACCATACCTGCCTCTGAGTGTACGTGGAGCAATCCTAGAAATATTGTTTGCTAACCAATCAACGTATTCGAAAAGATTGTCGTACGACAAATGTAATATTAGCCTTATACTTTAGTGTATTTTCGACATTCAACAAATTTAAAAAAATTGTTACAATAATAATAATATTAGGAGTACAAATAAGTTTTCGCCGTTTGACAAAAGATGGCCCCACCAGAAGGTTATGTTGAAATTGTCAGATGTAAAACATAATATCGTAAGTTTGGACATGTGGTAACAACATAACCTTGAAGTATTAGTGACTCCGTATCAGCATCACATCATTTTTTCGTGCGAAAATGTCAAGTTTTGTGCCGAATAAGCGTCATTTGCGGGAACTTTTGATTTACTTCTTTAATTTGAAGAAATCTGCAGCTGAGGCGCATCGATAGAAGCATATGATAAGACTGCTTTAAGTGAGAGAAGTTGTGAGTGGTTTCAAAAGTTTAAAAACGGTGAGTTTGACGTGGAAGACAAAGAATGTAGTGGAAGGCCGAAAGTGTACGAAGACACGGAATTGGAAGCATTATTGGAGAAAGATTCGTGCCAAACGCAAGAAGAACCTGCACTTACATTAGAAGTGACTCAACAAGCAATTTCACATCGTTTAAAATCGTTGGGAATAATTCAACAACAAGGGAATTGGATTCCATATGAACTGAAGCCGAGAGACGTTGAACGCCAATTTTGCACGTGTGAAATGCTGGAGGATAGCAACCTTTGACTTTGAGAGACTGTCAGCTTGTACCACCAGCTACAAGTAACAATGCCTCTCTCTGTAGTCGCCGTGCGCTCGGGATAGCACTAGAGATGTCGCTTCCGAACGACATCTCTCAACGTTATCTGGGGAGGGGAGAGTGTCGTGAGCGTGGAGCGTCAGATAGCTCAGTGGTCTAGAGCAGTCGCCCGGCAAGCGAAAGACCCGGGTTCGATTCCCGGTCTAGCGACTACCGCGCTCTCGATATTTTTCTCTCCTCGGAACGAAAAATGAGATGCAGGTCCCGAACGCACGGCGTCCCGTCGCCACCTAGTATGCCCTCCTTCTTTCATGGTGCTTGCCAGGCATAAAAGAAAGGGTTTTTTGCATCTTATAGTCACTGGTGATGAAAAATGGATCCACTACGATAACCCAAAGGAGAGAAAATCATGGGAACCATCTGGCCATGTTTCAACATCGACAGCCAAACCGAATATTCATGGAAAAAACTCAGGCCGTGTATTTGGTGGGATCAGCTTGGTGTCGTGTATTATGAGTTGCTCAAACCGAGCGAAACCATTACTGGAGCTCTCTACCGAATACAATTAATGAGATTGAGCCGAGCACTCAAGGAAAAACGCGCCCATTACTACTCCAGACACGAGAAAATTATTCTCCTACATGACAACGCTCGGCCATATGTTGCAAAACCGGTCAAAACCTATTTGGAAACACTTAATTGGGAAGTCCTACCCCACCCGCCGTATTCACCAAATATTGCCCCTTCCGATTATCACTTGTTCCGGTCGATGGCACATGACCTGTCTAAGCAGCGCTTTACATCATATGAAGATACTAAAAATTGGGTCGATTCGTGGATAGCCTCAAAAGATGAAGAGTTCTTCCGACGTAATATCCGAATGCTGCCAGAAAGATGGAAAAAAGTAGTGGCTAGTGATGGACAATACTTTGAATAAAACGTAATGTACCGTTCTTTCACAATAAATTCCTAATTTTTGATAGAAAACGGCGGAAACTTATTTGCACTCCTAATAATAAATCATTAAATATAATAGATTTGTAAAATATTAATAAAAATTTATTAATGTATTTGATTTTATTTAATAATTAAGCGGGAAATACGGATTCGTGCATAATGTATTAGGTTGTTCGGAAAGTTCGTTTCAAATTTTTGAAATAAATTAAGAGCGCAATATTTTACACAAAGAGGAACTTTATTGAAGCAAATATGTACCGTTTTGTTCAACGACCTTGGCCCATCTTTCAGGAAGCTGCATGGTGCCTTTGCTCCAAATGAATCGTCATTTCGAGCTATACGTAAACAATGAGTGATTCTAATAAATTCATTTGCTTTTGCATTGTATATTATACACTTAGCCAAAGTCTGTACTCCTCGCTTTACTTGAACCTAACTTACTTGGTTGAAGTGGGAGGGGCGTAATAAATGAATACGGCAGAATCTGCTCGATATTTGGCGCCAATTTGCTGTGGAATTTTGTCACTAAACTTTGCTCGATATTTGACGTTAATTTGCTGCAAGGTTTTGTCGCCAAGCTTTGCTCGGTGTTTGGCGACAATGTGCGGTGGAGTTTTGTCAGCAAGACTTGCTCATTATTTGGTCCCAATTTGGCATCAGAGATGTATACAAGCTTTGCTAGCAAATTCCGATCCTATTGAGGACACAGATGGCACCGGATTTGTCAGCAAACTTTGTATAAATTTAGTGCCAATTTG